AATGCTTGTAAAATCAATACATTCATCACTTCGTTCAGAATCTAAAAATTTTCGAATGAAAGCTAATAAAGATTTAATGGTATTTTTCACATAATATGAATGTATACATGCATGTTATATTAGATTCTGAATGGAATAATTGCGATATGAATAAATAATAATTAGCAATTGCCATACGACTAAATAAATAAATAATAATTTTAATAAGTATATAAAAAACTAGAAATTAAATAATGTAATTAAGTATATTATTCGGTATCAGTAAATAAGACCTGCAATTTTTTTCGTTTTATTCCAAACATATTAATGATATCCTGAATGAAAGTATACTTGTTACGTTAACTCTTTCACGATGAAGACTCATCATACACAACCCATTTAAACGATCTTCTCCTGTAGTCGAGCGAAGCCACGTTTTTACTCTTCTTAATGTATTGAACGATCTTTCTATTGTGCACGTTGTCGGAGGCAGTGATATAAAAATATAAAGTATTTGAAAAATATTCGCAATGAGCTAATAAATCAATAAACGAAATTCCATCACACTGGGAGTCAATAAAATTTTTATCAATCCTGATACCAAATATAAGATTCGTCTATCATATTTTCAATTTCATAATGATCTCTAATCAGCTTAATTTTTCTTTGAAATCATTAATGGTGTACTTTTTAATATTTTTAGGATGCAGTAGACTTAATGAGAATGCTATTTTATTTGTACTTGAAAATCGTCGTGAAAGAAAAAATAACAAATGATATTAGCAAATCTAAGTACGGAATAAAAATAGAAAGTCTGTAATAGTGTTCAGCAGAATCGGTTTCGTAATTTGATCTATTTTTTTGTTTGGATTTAATACGTGGAATTTTAATTTCTGCGCCATTTTTTTTCTACGATAAATACGGAGTTATTTAAAACATCATTAAAAACGATATCTGGTTGTTCTCTATTATTATTAAATATAGTTAATAAATCTTAAATATGATTTTGGACCGAGTATAAATCAATAGATTTTGCCTGCAGTTTATTTGTAGCTGGTCCTATAAATGAGCTGAGTATTTAGATATAATAAATTGTGATGTTGATGTCGCACATAATAATTGGTGTGCTATTATGTGCGAGTAGTGGTGTTAACTTTAAAATCTGATTCATTATTATAGATAGTTTTTTCTAAAACTGACTTAATATTAATAAAGTTTTCAGCAAAAATGCAAATAGATTTATATTTCGCAGACCAACAAGTATCACACAAAAGTGGGTATGTTTGTAACCAATTTTCGACGAAGTACACTTTCTCGAAAAAAATTAACCTCTTTAATTACTCTTACAGTATTTTGTATTTCTGTCACTGCGTTCAAATCATTTATAAATTATAACCAGATTAAGTCTATGCGAAGCACAGTGAAAAAATGCTGCTTTAAAATATTWATCACAAATTATTTTCGCAACTCCGTTTTCCATTCCAGCCATTACTGAACACCCGTCAAAAGCCAAGCCAACAAGTTTATTCATATCCAAACCGAATTTTTTAATAGAAGTCAAAATAGAAGTAGTTATACCAACTGTATCTAATTTTTGTAATGCACTCAATCCTATGAATCCTTCTCTTATAGTCTTTGAACTAACAACATGACGAACACCAATCGAAAGTTGTTCAATACCGGAAGTTTCGTCGGCTAACAATGAAAAACTTCAGCTACCTACTATTTACTTCTCGAACAATTTGATCACATAATAAAATTAACTCATTTTGAATGCGATGTGAGGCTTTACTATGACATGTTGATAAATGCTCAGACAGAACACTTTCTCCAGATTCAACACAAAATTTTAAAATGTTATGAAAATTTCCACTACAGCTCAATTTGCCTCTAATTGCTAGATCAGGGGTCAGTGGGTCACCAACTGGCGGACCGCGGTCCGGATACGGACCTCGAGCACTTTTTTAACGGACCGCGCGCGCGTTTTCATTTTACATTGATTAAATTCCGATAATAAATAATAAGATAAGATCATAAYATCGAGCGTCTGTCTACGTAGAACGCGTGTATAGTTCGCAGTAATCCGTATGCGCCGCGACGCGACAGACGAGTTTCGAGTATAGATAGTGTTCATAAGTTCAAACCGTTTATTGCACTGTGTGTGTTGACGTTCTGTTCGTGTTCGATTATTAGTTTTTCTTGTACAAATTTTGAATATGGAAAGAAAAAAAAGAAAAGTAGWAGCTGAAAATCGACAGTTTCTCGCAGAATGGACTGATTTATATTGTTTTACATTACCTAACCGTGTTGGAGCTTTACCTGTTTGTTTGATTTGTCAACAAACAGTTGCCATCATCAAAAGTTCAAATCTGAAAAGACATTATGAGACTAAACACAAATCGTTTAGTGAAAAGTACCAGGTAGGAAGTAATCTTCGTAAATCCAAAATTGAGAGTTTATATTTATCTTATTCGACATCGACTCAAATTATTAACGAGGCAATGAGTGAACAAGAAAAATGTTCAGAGGCTTCTATGCGTATTTCATGGATACTTGCTAAACACATGAAACCGTTTACCGATGCTGATATAAYCAAAGAATGTATGATTGAAGCTGGAAATGCGTTATTTGATAGTAAAAATGATATTATGGAGACTATTCGTAATATTCCGTTATCTGCGTCTTCAAATACTCGAAATACAGAACTATTAGCAAAGGAGAATCATTCTAATTTAATACAATCCTTATCGGCCACGGGT